TCACAGCATCGATGCCTGAAGTCTTATTTACAGCACTAATACCGGTTTACAGGTTTATTGTTTTACTTTACAATTTCAAGGTTCAAAGTTTTAAGTATTTATAAGTACTCATTGGTTCATAAGCATATCGTTTCATTTTATAATTTCAACGATCAAATTCGTAGATAATCGCATCAAGTTTGTGAATAACAGTAATTCCAACATTGTTGCACACTCCTCTCTATCTTAAAGGATGTAATAACTAGCACAGCCCAAAAAAAAAAATCAATAAGAACACTATAAAAAAAATAAAATACTTTTTTTTATTGAATAGAAACATAGTTATATGTATTTTAATTATTCAATACGGGTAACTTTTATATACAAAATGAGAGCATAGTTTTAAAGATAAAAAGTAGATTTTCAAAACTTGAACGGACACAAGGTTGAGTTGGATGTCACTTTTAAAATGTATTTATTCATTCATAACACTGTTACTTATAAATTACTGTTAAATTTTTTCACATAAACAATATGTTGAAACAGTAACCTTGTAAAAGTGATGTTCTGGCTCATAATCAATAGAAAAATAATATTTATTGTGATGGAGATAAAACTCAATACTCACAAAATGATATCTTATTAGATTGAGTCTCAACTACTCATTCAACGAGACTCACCATATATGAATAGTAGAATTTTAACATCATTGAGAGATGAATTCTTGATGATTAGGGCTTCGTTCATTTCATTAATTCGAGTTTAGAATTTGAATTTTGTTACAGTAAAAAACTCTTAAAAATAGTCAAATTTAACTTTTTTGTTACAGTAAAAAATTTTCACATAAAATTATATCTCAATTCAAATTAAAAATTTAAATCAACAAATTAAACGGTTCCGAGCACTCTAATCAAATAATTGTAAAGCTTTGCATTCACATGTTGTGCAAGGCCATGTCTTTGGTGGCCAGAATACAGTAAAACGATAATGAGGAAAGGGGCACATATCCGGGACAGTCGAACACGTGGAGCCTGGGACCTAGCTAATGCAGCCTATTCATCCAAAGCGATTCTTTTATCGCCAACGTCGGCTTAATTTGATATTGTTGTAGATTTTTAAAAAATTATTTTTAATTATGTTAAAAAAATAATTATAAAAAGTAGTTGAGTGTTTAATAAATTATAATTATAATAGTTGTGTTAGTTTTAAAATTAATATAATAGTATTTGATAAATTATAAAGTTAAATTGATATAGATAACTAAAAATTATGATTATCTTATATTATACAATAATATATATATATAATTACAATATAATGTATATTTATTATTATATTTATTATAATAGTTGTGTTAGTTTTAAAATTAATATAATAGTATTTGATAAATTATAAAGTTAAATTGATATAGATAACTAAAAATTATGATTATCTTATATTATACAATAATATATATATATAATTACAATATAATGTATATTTATTATTATATTTAATATAATACAA